TATATATATATATATATATATATATATATACATGTGTGTGTGTAATCAGTTAAATGAACGATTTAATTAGAATTGCAATTTACTATGAGGAAATGTTAATAAAATAATTAACACATATATAGTTAATACACATATTATAATATATATATATATATATATATATATATATATATATATACATAAATTAATAAATAAATTAAATAATTTAATAATAAATTAAAAATAAAGTGTATTGCAATTGATTATGATAAAAATTAGATAAAACAGAAAAAAAATATATATATATTTAATATATATTATATATTATATATAACTCTCTCTAATTATACACTTTTATAAGTATTATATACTTAAAGTATATATAATAAATACTTCATTATATATAAGGTGTTACACAATAGCGTTATTGAATATGTTTGTGTTTTTAATCGGACGTTTATTCGATTAATCACGTAATATTCTATCTTGAAGTAAAATCGCGTAATATCCGTTAAAATTTCATTATAAACGTATCATCAACGTTGATATAAGTATACCATGTGTGAATCGTGAATATACAATGTGATTCGTTAAGCGTAGGTGGGACGCTAGAAACTCGTACGAAAAGTTTTTAATATTAGTTAGAAGAATAGATCAACATTAGTTTCAACACTGGCCTTCTGGATGCAGCTGCTTTTCTCAAGTATCTATTATTAAAGTGTATTTGTGTACCTATATGTATGTATATATGTGAATAGTTTCTAGGATGCATTAGCAACTTCATATGTGTTTGTTTGTATGTCTGTGTTTTATGGTTTATAACAAGTCATTTTTAGAAAATTGTTGAAATTCACTTTTGAAATATGGTTGAAATGGTTTCACCATTTATTTCAATTCTATTATTCAAACGTTTGTGAAAATAATAGAATGGAATTTTGTATGAATGAACATACTTTTTGTTTTTGTAATAATTGATTTTTTTCTTTTTAGAATTTAGTATAATTAATTGTGTAAATCACTCTTCGTTTTATTTTGCAATGATTTGTTTAATTTTTCCATTTCTATTTTTATTCATTTTTATATTTAATTTTTTTCTATTCTTTCTATCTATAGATATACAGAATAATATCTGTATTTAATTTTTAATATTTTATAATATTATAATGTAATAATATTGTATATAATTTTTAATATTATAATTATAATGTATAGAATAATATTTAATTTATTTTTAATATTCTATATTAAAATATGATATATTTAATATTATTATTAAATTATTATATTATTATATATTTATATTATTTATATATTATATTAATTTATTTTTATTAAAATATTATAATTAAATTAATAATATTATATTAAATTCTTTTTTAATATTACATTTTTACGAAAATAAAAAAATAAAAATTAATTATCAGAATATTTTTCTTATACACCAAATGACAATAATTATAATGGAATCAATTCTTAAATAATTCTGATTTCAGAAATCATTTGAACTAATGGTAAAACAACATATATATTCTAAACCATAAGAAATAAGAACAAACTGATTCTACTTTACGAGATAGTTAAGAACTTTATTCTTCATCAGATGGGTTATACGAGAAAGCAAAATCAAAGTTCGTTAGATTCCTTCACTTTAGAAATTTGTGGATTAACGTACAGAACAAAAGCCTCCTCCTATCGCAAGTTCTATTTCTATCCCTCTTTCTCTCTTATTCATTCATTCATTCATTCATCAGGATCCTCTTAATCGATTAGAGGTGAAAATCGTATTAGGATTAGACATTGAAATGAGGTTGCGGGTACATACCCTACTCTAGTGATGACAATGCGATTAGATCGATGTAATTGTGTAAATGCATACGTACATGAGCATGTGCACACACATACTTGTAGAAGTTTACATGTATTATGTATTGCAATTAATTCGGTACTTTACTTTATAATTCATTGCATCGAAATTCATTATCTTTTCTTGTTTCTTTTTAATTTGTATTTCAAATAATTTGACTGTTGTTTTGAAAAAAAAAAAAAAAAGAAAATGTTTTGATCAAAGTAATCGAAACATTTAATAGTTAATTAAATTGAAATGAATTGTTAAATTAATTAAATGATAAATAAATAGAATAATTACGGATTAATTAAATAATAAATAAATGAGAGAGACATTATTAATTATTAAATTAAATTTATGTGGATGATTACTTTATATATTTTTAATATTACATTTGTTTATATAAAACAAACAAATAACATCGCGAATTAATTGTTATATTGCGAATATAAGTGTTTGGATTGAGTACAAAAACAGTTTCTTCGTATTTCGATGTATATATGTTATAAGATCTTTCTTTTTTTGAACAAAATTATAATAAATTTTAAATTATTCTACGATACGTGTCAGTTTACAAACACACGCGAGTATAAGTGTTATCAAAGTTATGAAAATTGTTTTTAAAAACTCGATAAAATACGAAGAATCTTTTATTTTTTTTTTAATAAATTATAAATTAAAAAGTAATAATTAATACTATTATTATTATTATTATTAATATTTATTTTATTAATATTTATTTTATTAATTATTATATTTAATGTTTTAATCGTTGTTAACGATTTTAATGAATTTGTGTATGAGTGTCAGTGATTAACAAAAAAAAAATAAAATTGTATTATTATATTATTATATTTATTGATTTTTTATTGTTTATTATATTTATTATATTATTATTATTATTAATATTGATTTTATTAATTATTATATTTAATGTTTTAATCCTTGTTAACGACTTTAATGCATTTATGTATGCGTGTCAGTGATTAAAAAAAAAAAAGAAAAAAAATTAGAAGAAGGTAGGAAAAGGGATCATGATGTTATAAAAATAGAAAGATAGAAAAAAAAAGAACAAAAAAAATGAAAAAAGTAATGTTGAAATGTAGAAATGTAGAAATGAGTAACACGAATCGCGTGAGAAGTCAAACTCATCCTGATTATGTCTCAGCTGTGATGCACTTTTCTAACTTTCGTTGCACCCTTTTCGTTTATCGATTTCAAAACTCGACTTTTCAAGTTATACACACACACACACACACACACATACACATTCATTTATATAAATATATATATATATGACATATATGAGAAGAGTCCTCTTAGATCGGCCTGGAAAAGAAGGAATCTAATTTTCCTTCTAAAACTTTCTGACGTCATTAATCGCAAATTCTTGATAAACTTCTACGAATTCTAAGAATTTTAAATTGAGAATGCATTTAAAAAAAAAAAAAAAGGCATTGATTGTCTGATTCTTCTTTTATTTTTCTTCTTTTTTTTTTTTGGTATTAATCCTATCGAAGATTTTTGATAAGAAAAAAATTATTGGATTGATTTTTTTTTTTTTTTTTTTTTTTTTAATACAATTTTTAATGAAATGCAATTCTTTTGTTTTCAAGTGCATAGAAAGATATGCAACAATTTAATTTTTTTTTTGTTTACTTGGTAAAATATTGTGTATTTTAGATTATTTTGGTGTTTTATTTTTTTATTAATTTTTTTTTTTCATCATTTTAATTTCCTTATTTTCCAAACTTTTATAATTTAAATATATTTTTTTTAATACACAAATTTGATTTGATTTTATTCGTACACGTATGTGTATGTGTGTGTGTGTGTGTGTGTGTTATATACGAGGTGAAAATAATTTTATCCTTGCTACAGAGTTTCTCATTTTCTGTCGATTATTTGTATTTTTTATTTTTTTTTTATTTTTATTATCAAACTACGTTTCAAAAAATTATACGAAATAATTTTAATTATGAATTCATTTCGAATGTTATTTTATTCGAAATGATTTTATTCATCATATTCAATACTTTGTTCGAAATAATTTCATTTTAATGAAAAATCATTAAATTTTATTATACAATATATCATTCACTCATATGTTTTAATATCTTTTAAAGGAAAATAATTTACTGAGGTATAGCATATTTTTTATTTATTTATTTATTTCTATAAAATGTAAATTATTTTATTGAATTTGATCGAAACATTTTCCAAATTTTGATTCAACTATATTTGAAAAATTCAATTCAATTAAAATTCGAAACATTTTGACTTTCTTTTTCTTACGTTTAAAGTATTATAAATTTAAAAAATGAACATTAATTATAAAAAAAAAGAATAGATAATTAATTATTAGATTAAGTAGGCAAATTGATTGAGAC